GAAGCAAAATCTTAACCCTGAACAATGGAGCCCCAAGGTGTTTAAGATTATATAAAGAGTGAGTCACAGCTCACAGGTGTGGCTGTGATTTAGTAGAAAAGTCGGTCATCTCTCAACCGGAAGGTGCTACTTCGTTGGTTGTGTATAAATGCGTATGAATGGATTAGTTAATACCCCTTTACATAGCAGCGTCTGTCATCAGTGTGTGAATGGGTAGGTGTGACCCGTGGGGTAAAAGCGCCATGAGTAGTCAGAAGAACCGAAAAGCGCCACACAAGCTTAAGTCCATTAACCACTTACAAGCATTTCTAAATGTATAAATAACCAAATTTTAAAGCAGTAGCAAAAAATAATTTAAAAAATATTTTTTATGGAATATTTTTCTTTCAGTTTCATCCTCGATCATATTCGTTTAATGATACATTTATACATTTAATTCCCTCACTTTTTATGATAGTGGTGCAGCAGTGACCATGTTCCTGAACGTCCCTGACATCTTTCATCTGACATCTGTCATCTTTAGACCAAAATGGAGCATTAAGCTGCAAAAGCGCAAAAAATAAAGCAAGAAGAGTTGAGCACTGAGCTGGGTCTCCATTTAAAGACAGCGTGCTTAATTTAGTACGACCTGTTTGCTAACAAGTTTGCCCTGTGGTCTTTTTAAAGTAAGTCGAGTTGTGTTGATTTTACAACTTGTTGCCACCTCTCCAAAAGAGCCAGGAGGAAAACAACATTAGCTTTTTCAGATTTAACAAGGCTATGTACCTAGCCCACCAACAAGGTAACTTTGTTGTTAAAGGCAGCAGGTAGTCCGCCCCTTCAGCCACTTCATTTTGGGATAAAGTGCACCGGCCCACAGTTAAGCTAGGACTGCTAATTAAGCTATTCAGCTATTCACTGGCTTCTCTTGGTGTCCGGAGAAAGCTGAAAACTTTGTGGAATGACCTACCATGTATTTACAGCACAACCAAAGTGTTTCCCTGGGGCGGCTCCGCAAAAAGGAACTAGCCAATTCAAATTGACATTAAAACCTTTCAGTGCAATAAGGAGAGAAAAAAAACCAGTGATTAAATCAATTTCATTCTGAAACAGGTTCTAATAATCATTTAATGTAAGCATTTGGTCATTCCAGAATTAAGTAGTTAACTTAGATATCTCACACTTTCACTTTCATAATGTCTACAATATTTTCATACTGTAAACTTTGATGATTTACAGATCTGTGGCCTGACATAGTTTTGGGGGTGTTTAGGCTTTCCTCGTGCCCCTTGCAAACAAATAATTTAAACTATGAACATGTAATCTAGCTCTGTGGTGACTGATGCATGCTGCTGATTCTGGCAGAGCAGTGGAGTTTGTGCCACCAAAGCGAAAACAATCTGGCTTTCTGTGCTCTGTGGCCCCTTCTCAGTCTGCTACAGCTAATTGGCTCCACTGAGAGCCACGTACAACAACTCACACACACACACACACACACACACACACATACAAGATGCAGACATCAATGCAAACACACAACAACCAAGGACCTCCCAGCCATCTGTTAGGGGCCTGTGCGCATACAGGTGCTCCCCCTGCTCGTGCCGTCCCCTCTCAGTGCTCCGGAGATGATTTAGGTGTGGCAGACTGCTGTGTTTGATCAGCGACGCAGTGTCGTGTCTTGTCACTGTCATTTTGCAAAACTGCAATTCATTAATTATTTCTACCAAACTACAATTTCTATCATTATGCCAAACCCAATTACTGCTTCTCCTACCTGCGTCTTGTGCATTAAAGATACACTTTCAAGCATATAAATCTCAGCTACACAAATATTCTGCAGTACATTTCACTGTGTTTAAAACTGTATTCAGTCCTCCTGTTGTTCTGATAAAAAGCATTCATTCATTTGCATACTGTAAAACAATATAAACAATACCATAAAACAACATAATGAGCATACGGTCCTTGCTCTAGGGTGAATCTGAATTGTGGCGCTGCTGACATCAAGTTGTGAAGGCAGGGAACTACAACTGCGTGTGTTTCTGCTTTCGCATTATTGTCTCCCTGTGGGTTGTGTTGCTCAGAAAAAGGCAGAAAATTGTTCAAATACTCAGAAGAAATCGGCACAACGTTTTCCAGTGTTAAAACTTCATGTGACTAATTTGTGGATTACTATTTATTTTGTCTTTTTAATATATTTCTTTGTTGACCTTCTCTGCTCTTGTTCAGCCCTATCATTGAATAAAGACTGTCATCCATGTCTTAGTATTTATCCTTGTGTTATCTGTAGAGCATCATGTTTTATCTTTTTCTGTAATACGTATTTAAAACATTCATTGTGCCCATGCAGATGTAGAGCTCCAGTTTGGATTACATCTGGGTTGAATCAGGTGAAGTCTTCATGAACCTTCCATGTTACATGTTGAGTATAGCCTATTGAAGATATTAATACCTCTTGCATCTTCTCAATATGCAGGTCTCTTTCTAAACCTCTTTCTGGAATGGTCATCTTGATACTGCAAGTCCTAATCAGCAGCTAGTCCTCACGTCTATAGTCGTCTTTATGTCTTCAAGTCATTCTCATAAAGTCCTTTTTTTAATCCCACGAAGCAGCATCCCTCTTAATTGGGAAACGTAGGAAACGTAGGAAATCAGAAACTGGGGTAGCAGACATAGCAGACTCTGCTGTAAAATGTATTCAAATAATAACAATTACTAGACTCACAAGGTTAAAATGCTGATATAAATGATGGCATCAGGTGGGATCCCACTAAACAACACATTCAAAATAATTCCAATGAATTCCAGGTCCCTTTAACGAGCCTGGTGTTTCTGCATGTTTGGACAAATAAAGGCAAGGTCGTAATCAGAGGCCTCAATGCATCTGGTGCTGAAGAAGTGTAAAACAAATGAAGAAAGACGGAAGAATGCTAGTGTGAGAGAGAAGGTTAATCATAGGCTGGAGATTCATGTGTGCATGTGCATCCACAGAATGTGAGCACTGCCTCTCAGAGTCTCCTTCATGATTTCATCTGGAAAAGACTGAATACATTCAAACCTCGGTGAGTGACAGCAGGGACAGGGAGGACTCTGCTGCTTGTGCTGGCTTTAGAGATGGAAATCACCATTTCTTACCATCAGTAATATGACTTTTTAAGGGTTAAACAACTAAAGACATTCAGATAAGTTTACACTTTCCTAATTTTGTTAAATATTTGTTCTGGTATTTATGTAGTCTTTCCCATCTTCGCTGTGCACATGGTTTGTTTGAAAATATTTTATGGCTAGTCTTGTATTGACGCCTCCCAAATGACGACAGATTTCCTAGAGTGGAGTACAGAAATACTCGGGTTATTATGTTTTACAGTAACTTACAGCAACATGTTAAGGTCTAGCAGCAGATGTGGCATTACTCTATAAAACCCACACTAGTAGTGCTCCCTTACTTCTCCAGTTGAACCTGTTATCAGTCTCGTTAAAAAAAGAGTTATCAGGTGTGTTTTCTTCTTCAGCAGGTTGAACTGTTGTTAAAAACACTGTGCTGAAAAATAAAGTTATCCACCAAGAGAGAGAGACTGATTTATTCTCATGGACTGTAAAGTAGGGCTGGGTATTTCCCACAACCCCACGAGACGATACATATTGTGATATACAATGGTTTTGGATAATGACCACATCTTACACAGAATTCTCCACAACAGCTGTTCTTTATTGTTGAGAATAATGGCAGAGGCATATTAAGGAACCTACAACTTAAAACACTTCAATTCAGGTCATCAGAAATTCTAGAAATACATTCAAATATTTCAATCCCAGAGCTGTGGCTATGGTGTTATTGTGAACTGCACCATAGGTCAATCACAGCTTTGCAGCCATATTGATTCTGTAACATCTGCATCAATACATGTATTGGCAAGAAGCACATTTTTTTGCATTTGATTTTTTGAGCACAGCCCTACTGTAAAGTAGATGTGGAATTTTTTTTCCTAGGTATAACTGAGTGTCCATGAAGAATGTGTTCACCAAGCATGTAAATTAATCTCTAAGACAACACAATCAAAATATTGGAAAGAGTTTGCCTGGAAAATTAACATGAGGGTTTTCACAACACCAGAAATCACATCAAAATACAATTTATCAGGAAGTACTGAATGCTGGAGGAAGTGTGGGGATCAGGAAGCAAATCATTTACATATCTTTTATTCCTGTCCTGTGTTGGGAAGGTTTTGGGGAATTGATCAGGAGAAAATTACAAATATTTTTAACTTACAGAAACGACTTCACCCAGTTAATTTCATACTTGGTATTACTCCACCAGGAATAGAGAAGGAAGGGGACAAATATTTGTACACAATAATACGCATAGCCGCATTTAAGCAAATTACACGAAGCTGGCTGGATGATAAACCCCCGTCTATTAATGCATGGAAGTTAACAGTGGAAGATATTAAAGAAATGGAAAGAATTACGTATAGGCTAAGAAACAGAGAAGATGAATTCATGTGTTACTGGAGTAAATGGATAAAGGAAACAGATAAAGTGGAATAATAACAGGTATGTAAATTAAATTATATTAAATTAAGAGCGTAGTGAAGGAACAACCCCCCTCCCCCATTCTATTTAGTTTTATTTTAATTTTATCATTATTAGTATATTTTTTTTATTTCTAAATCTTATTTTAATTATCTTTTTTCTCTTTGTACATTTTCTTTGGATTTTTATTTTATTTCAAGTATGTATTCTTGTATGTTTAAAAATATATAAATAAAAATGTGCCAGGATGAACAAAATTTGTGATGAAATATGACAACTTGTAATGTAGTAAATAAGCATGCAATAAAGTAATAAATAAAAAATAAAATTTGTTCACAGTGGAACACTTTTTGAATCAATACATTTTAAAGATTATATGATAATAATTGAAGGACACAAAGACTCCACAGCTTAACCACAGAGAATAAGTCACAACAAGTTGGTTGTTCTAACTCTGTAACTGTAAGCACAAATAAAGAGACATGTTTTGAAGTCAAAGAAATACAACTTTATTTAAGTGTAAACAAAAAAAGCAAACAAAAACTGCATAGGAAATGTTTAAAGTCCACAGAATACAGAGAGAGCAGCAAGTGGCCAATATATTATAGTCTCCTTTGCCTTATTTAGACTGAAGACCTGACATCTGTACTTCACTCAGCCCGATGTGTGCATGTTTTAAGAGGGAGGGAAGGTGTGCTGGCAAACCCACACACATACATACACACACACACACACACACACACACACACACACACACACATATACACACACACACACACACACACCTGGCTGAGGAAGCACCAGCAGCACCCATCTAAACTCAGCTGGCCCCGCTGTCTCTCCCTGCCTCTTGGACTGAGGATACATTCAGTGGATTTCTGCTTAGACAACACATATGCAGCGCACAAACACAGTACACACTCCTCACAGTCAGCTGCTGGGAGAACGAGAAAACAGAAACAAAAGGTTGTCCAAGATGAGCTGTTTTTCCCTTTGGGCCAAACAAACAGCCCCTATCTGGGAGGCTGATATTAAAGCTGGTGGCTAAATGAACGTGTTGCATGTTCCACTTCAACCATATGATCCCACCGTTTACTCCAAGTATTGCTGGTGTCAAACATTTAGCAAAAAGTATTGAGAAAAACACCTTTTATGTGTCTTGTTTTCGTACCAGCGGCTGGCTGTTCAGAGTGAGCATCAGCAAGACCCCATTTGACCCCTTTCTTCATAAAATACATTCTAAAAGGGCCAATGAGCATCAAGTGGCGACACGTATTTGTACTTCTTTGTGAGAGAAACAAAAATGAGCAAAAAAACAACAGATTAATCAGGGGACACTAGTCAAAGCCTTATTTTTTAGATTGGGTTTAGAAATATATTTTTTTATAATATGGAAATGGACACACAAAAGAATCATACTAGTAATGAGAGCTCATAACAGGGGGAAACTACATCATCACTACGGAACACGTTTCAATGAGACACCTGCAGGGCAGGGCTGCTGAGAACTACCTGAGTTTTTTTTTTTTTTTTCCTTTTCAAATTTTCAATCCTTTTTCTTTTTTTTTTTTCCTTTCTTTCGAGTATACAATCATCAAAAGGAGGTCTACGACCTTGCACGTGTCACCTGGTGCAGCTTTGCTTTTTTTTTTTCTCTTAAAGCCATGAGAGGCCAGAAATAAAATGGTGGACAAAAACCACAGGGGCCCCTATGAAAATAGAAAAAAAATCCAGCTGAGCAGGTGTACACTCTACCAGTCACATGCTCAGCAGCCATCCCCACCCTTCCTGGATTATTTTAAAGACAAGGAAGAGGGCTGCCTGCTAGTTTGTGCTGGAGAATCCTAGCTGCTTCTCACATTAAAGTGAGTATGTGTTATTACAACTTCAAACAAAAAACTGGCTGTCCTGTTGATTCATTGTCGTTGGTGAGGTCATTCTTCACCTAGCATGACGCTTTTACAGCTTTTAAAAGTTACAGGGCTTTGAGTGTGAGAGGAGTTCGAATATGTGAATATGTCTACACATATTGTGCATAATAGAGGGAGAAAACCAAGCACTAATGGTCCAGGGGCCACACGAGCCTTCTGCATTCATCTGAAAACTCTCAGGAATGGAGGCTTGGCTGACCCAACAGGTTGTACTCTGCAGAGCCTCGAGAACAAGAAATACAATCGCAAAGGTCAAAGGTTAATTCCATCAAACACAATCCTAACACACACATACAAATCTTTGGGTATATATTTTGGTAAAACCATCCCAATAATTAGCTACCCACCCCATCTGAGTTTTTGCAACACCTATCTGAGAGACATCGGTATAATATAAAGACTTTTTAAAGCATGCAACAAAATGAAAAAACAAATGCTTAAAAAACATTTTTCCTCTTTAAGAGTGAAGACCTAAAGATCTTAAAGATAGAATTCTGCAATCTTAATAAAAAAAAAAAAACTGATGCAACATGAATGAACATTTCACAGAGTTAATACTGAAAAACAAAAAAACAATCTTATGTTGGGTTAAAAGCATCTGTGGAATCAAACTTGCTCGCTGTCAGTGTGCTAATAGCTCCCCTTAAATAAAAACCCAGCCTGTTGTCACCTATTAGGAGGAATCCTCTGATGGGTTTGTTTAAACCACAAAGTGAAAACGGTTGGGTTTACACTGGTCTCACGGTCCTACACAACCAACATCAAGACTCCTAAAAATCCACACTGAGAGGTTGGTAAATTGTGCTGATATCTGAGGTATATCAAAGGCAGATTTGTGAAGTTCTTAACTCTTTAAAAGAGGTCACATCGTCTTGCTGTCAACTGTCCTGCGCACAGTAACAATGTACAAGTGGAATCTGCATGATCATCATCATCATCATTGTTATCATGAGGTAAAGATAAACAGGGCCCAGCCCTCTTAAGTGCATCTAATCAGAGAGCAAGATTTATTCTCAGGTGCTCTGATTTAACATTTGTATCCATGATATAATGGTCCAGTGACATATGCCGTCTACAACACGTCAAAATGCCAACCCTGTTTGGCACAGACCTCTCACAGATCATTTTGGCACAATGCTTTCATCTGACATATTTGGTTTCTTGTTGATAAAAGGCATAGTTTACCAGGCATTACAGTAGAACGAACAACCAGAAGGCTGTTCAGGGTTGGAACATGGAGCGATGACCATAATACAAAATGACTTTTCAACTCAAAACAGTACCATGATCTTTGGTCCAAGAGCTATGGGACATGTACTGTACTGTAACACAAGATGATTCAAAGAATGAGGTATATTCGTTACGCATAAATATAAATGACGAGGTATGTCAAAACACAAGAGTGAAAATGAGGTATATAGAATGGATATGAAGTTGAGGTATTTGAATGTTAAAATGCACAGAAGCCATGAGTGACATATTTGAGGTATTCAGGAGTTATAAGAGGAGGTAAAACAGGATATCGGAGATATGACGATGTAAATCCCGATTATGTGCAGACGGGCCCTCTCCTCAGAGGTGAGAGCCAGTCGGTAAATCTTCTCATAAGTCCCAAGATTCTTTGCCAGGCTAAGATGCAAATAGAACCTTAATTGTCTAGTGCTTCCAGTGGGACACAGATTGAAACAAGGGCAAGGGGATTTAAAACCCCACAATGCTTTCACCACAAAGGGTTACTATCTATTAGTTTCTACGGTGATTATATTGGGATACAAAGGTCAATCGGAGATGCTACTTTGAGCCCTTGGGCAGTCTAATTATGATATAAATTGGGGCATTGCATGATGGTCTGAGGTACTAATTGCAAAGGGGGAAAGGGGTTCTCTTTGGTGCGGGTATCTTCTGTTTCTACAAAAATATCTCAGCTGAGAGACGAAAAGGATCTTTCAAAACCTTCCTAAAAAGGGCCTTAGTCATTGCAGGATGTGAAAGCACAAAAAACTGTGACCTATGCACACTTTATTCTTCTAAGTCTAACATGGACAGCGCTGAAGACTCAACTTCACAAATTAAAATAACTTTTCGGTTACAGTCAACAATGATTATTTAAGATAATGTTTTGTGGGGAATTCATTTTCTTTAATTGCAATATCTACAGTGGGCCATTGTGCTGAAATACTAACTTTGGTTGACTCCAGAAGTCGGTCTTTAGACCTCCATCTTTAGAGGAATCAGTCTACTAGCGCTCAATCTTGGGAGGTCTCCTAATTTCTTAAGATTAATAAATAAGGCCGGGCTTTGTAATCATGCCCTCTAATTGGACTGGACTATAACCTTGGCCCCAGGAGCCAAAGTGAGTGAGTTTCAACCAACAGCTAAATCAAAAGAATGACTATGTTTTGTGTCTTTCATGTCCTCCCGACAGCAAAAATGGTTGTCTACTTGTAAGGCTTTTGTCACACAGCATGCCTCACCTAAAAGGTGTCATTCAATGAAATGATTATATCTCTACATTAAGATCACTAAGAGATCTAGATTTTGGAAAATCCAACTCCAAAATCCTTTGGTAGGTTCTCCCATTTGAAGGAGTTGCTGCTCTCCTTGCATCTTACTTCATCATGCTGACTGGAAAAAAAAAACTTAAGTTGAGTTAATCAATAAGAAAAAAATCACTAGTTCATCCAGTCTTATGGGACATTAAGGGGGATGGGGATGTAAGGATAAACATACAATTTGGATAATTCTATGGGAGGGAACATGAGGGGATCATCTCTGGGATCATTTCGTCTTGTCTATAATTTCATCAAATCATCATTAAGCTAGTAAAGCTATAGGGACAGTCTGGAAAGAACAGCTCTTCTGAATAAATCCTACCATGACCTGAGCTCATTTTAATTCTAAGTTTGGCATCGCTTGGGGCACTCTTTTTAGGCTATCATGACACTATGATCTTCACAAAGCCACAAAGGGACAAGGGGCGCTGCACAAGCAAAAAAAACTAAAGCAGCCTAAATAACATGAGAAGGACACTATTGTACCCTTGGTTCCTCTTCGAGCGAAGCCCTCTAATGAGAATGAATCATGCAGCCTCTGCAGCGATCTGAGTATTGTCTCAGCAACAACATTCAGGAGGTTCACTTTAACTCATATTTCAAAATGCACAGCAAGAATTCCATTAATCCTGTGCAAATATCAACTCAAAAGTCCATTCTTTTTTTTGTCTCTCTTAAATAACAAAGTATAGAGGTAGACTTTTCTTCTTTGTAAAACTTCACGGACTAAAACCTCTGCTCAGTGACTATGAGTACATTCATAAAGAGCTAAATGAGGTAGGTTTGGAGCAGAGGGTACAAGATTTCAAGAAAAATGAGAAAATCCCTGAGATGGATACTTAAAGGAGAGCCACAGAGAAAATTCAGAGCAGCGGAGACTGAGGAAGGGAAATATGGCTCCTTTTCTACTGATTATCAATTTGTAGAGGTCCCCATTGTAATACATACCACAGTTATCTGATTGAGAGAACTATTTAAATGCAAAAAAAAAAAATCTACAGTTTTAATTTCCCTTCACTTCAACATACTCTCAATCCTCTCTGAGTTCTCCTGTTGTGTCTGTTGATTCATTCTCTCTCCTCCATGTCCTTCATCCAAAAAAACTGCAAAAGGGCCAACGGAGGATGAGAAGAATTCTATTCTTGTTTTTTTTTTTTAGAATTTGAGGATGCGATTATTTCCAAAGTCAACAACCACAATAACTCCGTCAGGCGTCACAGCCACACCGGAGGGACGATCCATCTGTCCAAAACCACTCCCCTGTGTGCCAAATTTGCATAAGAAGTTTCCATTGGGCTCGAACACTTGGACTCGGTGGTTGCGGGAGTCGGCCACGATGATGCGGTTCTCTTGGTCCACAGCGACACCCTGGGGCCGCAGAAACTGCCCGTTTCCGGTGCCCTCGGAGCCCAGGAAACGAGCAGACTGGCAGTCAGGTCGGATGACGAGCAGTCGGTGGTTGTTGAAGTCGGTCACCACCAGGTGGTCTTCATGGTTAAATGCCACTCCTCTGGGAGAGTCAAAGTGTTTCCACAGGGCCCCCTCAAAGCCATACTTGTTGAGGAAGGAGCCGTCAGGGCCAAAGAGCTGCACACGGTGGTTCCTGGTGTCCGAGACCAGGATCTTACCCTCAGAGTTGACAGCCACATCCCAGGGATAGTTGAACTGCCCATTCTTTGTACCCTTTTCCCCAAATTTCACCAGGAACTGGCCCTCAAAAGTAAACACCTGTCCGACAAAACAAATGTGTTAGGGCCCAACATGTTAACATCAGATGTTTAGAACGCATGAGGAGCTGTGTGTTTATGTGTCTATACATGAGTCTACTAGTTAACAAGTTTTCAGAAGCTTACATGCCTTTTTAACATACACAATAAGACACACGTATTTTGTGGCACTTGAATAATTTAATTCACGAACAGTCAAGGAATCATTCAGAACAAGAATAGAATTGTGTTGATATTTCTTGGGTGCTCTTACCTGCACACGGTGATTGTCCTTATCAGCCACAATGATTCGTCTCTGACTGTCACATGCAACCCCTGCTGGACGATCAAACTGTCCCGGCCGAGAACCCAGAGAGCCAAACTTGTGGTGGAAGGCCCCACAAGGCTTAAATATCTAGAGAGAAAGAAGCAACAACAAAAAACTATTTTCACTTCATTGTTCCAACATTACTTATGTTACTTACATCTTTAATGTAAGGTTTGAGCATACTATTCAACCTAATTGCATAAGTCAAACTGTCAGACCTTTCATATCGTAAACATGCACTCTAAAATACACACAAAAAAGTCTTCAGCCAGCAAGCAACACAAATATATGAGCACCACTCAAGCACATGAGTGTGTGATATATTTTAGGGGCTCTACCTGTATGCGGTTGTTGCTCCGATCAGCCACCACCACATATCCCTCCTTGTCCACGCTGATGCCCCAGGGACGACACAGTTGACCATCTCCCTCACCCTCAGAACCAAACGATGACACCTGGGAGCCCAGGGAGCCGTAGCTCCGCCCTGACTTGACGATCACCTTGAAGGGGCTGCCCTGGATGTGCTGGTTACACACCAACACAGACACGAGGTGCTCCCCCTCATATTTAGGCAGGTAGCTGACAGTGTAAGAACCATTCTGGTGGTCAGTTACTTCTGCTGCAGACAGGTTTCCATCTGTGACCGACATGACGATTGAAGACACTGTGTCCCCACCGGAAAGGCGTGGCTCACCATCATGGTCGTATCCAATCACAGTGAAGGAGGCAGGCTTGCCACGGAGCGCACTTTTTAGACCCTCACCATGGGCTTTGGTGACCGGGGCAAATGCCCCGCTGCTGATGAGGCCCATGGACTGGACGGCTATGTACAGAGCCTTTGGAGAAGAATGATAAACATTCAATTTAAAGGTCTACTTTGAATTAGAGTAGACACAATTTATCCACATTGCCAACCAGCCATATCACAACTCCAACAAATTCTTATACATCATCTGGCTCAGAACAGCAAAACAAAAATCTAACTGTTCAAATCAATCTGAACTAAAGGTGCACAGATAGATAGACGGATGACCAGAATCGGCAGATTTTCTGCCTGCCTGACCTGCGACCTGCTGGTCCTCACAATTATAGCTGATAATATAAACATGATAAAAACTCTTAGCTAGCTTCATTGTCTGGCTACAAGTGTACCTGATTCTTTTAGGAGGGAGGAAGATGACCAAAGTAAAAAGACTAAAAGTCTGTAAGTGATCATTTCTTCAGGAGTCAGGGAGAATTCAGCGAAAGAAAATGAAGAAGTAAACGTTTCTAGAATTTGATTTACTATAAATTTACATTAAAGAGTTTTAATTATGACTGTTTTAATCTTTATAGAATGTGAAAATTAAGAATGAAAATCATGTATTATTTGAAAAATGTATTTAATACCGTTTATTTGTGTTACTTGACATACTATATCAAAACACTTTTGAGTTTGAGTTGATTAGTTTGAGTGAGAATGAGAGATGGTCAACCTGGTCCAGTTTTTAAGATGGTTCGTAATAAAAAGTTACTTAACAGTCATGTTTTATTATGAACATAAAATTGATTTGCTGTCAATAGTGTCGTAATAGTGCTTTAGAGAAAGAAAACCAGCATCAGCCAAAAACGGGCATCAGAAAGTCAGACCAGGACAAATCGGAAATGAAAAAAATCACAATCTATTTAAGATTATTTAATCTGTGAATCTCTGATCTGAACAATCAGGTGTTGTTTATGATCCTTGATCTACAGGGTCCAAATGCCTACCTGGTCAGGAGGAGTGAACATGAAGCGGTCGTCTTCTTGTGGCTGCAGCAGACCCCTCAAAGCCTTCAGCTCGTGGATCTGGGTGAGCATTCGCTCCCTGGCCAGCAGCACATCAAGGTGGCGGCCCTCATCCAGCACCTGACTCACGGCAGCGATTGTGCTATCCAACTTGGTCAGACTCTGGTGCAGTTTCTCAACCTGCAGGTACAGAGACTTGGCCTTCACCTGACGGATCTTTTCCACCTGACAGGAGACAGAACCAGCGTACAGAATATTTAACATCACAAGATCAGATCTGACTGTTTAAACAGCATAGAGCACATCACAAAGATGCTATGTTGATCCATAACAAATATTGTGTGTTGTAAAGCATGATGCTTAGTCTCTCATAAGTCGCCCCAAAAAAATCGAATAGAAAAAAAGAAAACCAGCAATAAAAAGAAAGTTTGAAGGTTTGGTTATACCTCAGCTCGGTCGTCCTATTAGTAGAGCACTTTTTATTTGTTTCAACCCTAAAATAAAATAAATTATTCCACATTTCACATGAGTTGAATGTGTGGCATTAAACTTACTTTAAGTGTTTCCATGAGCACACACTGTTATAAGCATTGTGGCCACATGATGGCAGCAATGTGCTGGCCATACTGAATGTTTTAGTCAAGAATAAGAGGAAAAGAAATATGGGGCATCTGTACAACTTTAGCTTGGATTGGTAAATAATTGTAGAGCAGAATGCTGGTTTAATGATAATACATGAGGTAGTATAGATAGTTCCAGTTTGATACAATGACATCATTTTGATTAACAGTGATTCCAAATGAACATTAACGGTAATTAAATCATAAACTTCAATTAGTCAAAAGACATTTATATGTTTTGTATGTATGATCTTTTCTAAGAGATACAATATCAATGTGCAACATCTAAACAACTGATCTGACAGCTGCATTGCCCTTCTGGGATTAATAAAGTTGAATCTGAATCTGAACATCGACTGAAGTATTTTGCTCTGAGAGGCTGTTTTCAGGAGGAAGGCAAAACCACACAGTACCCAAGTTTCACTTGGGAGTCAAATATTCATGGCATCATAAAACAGAGATTTAGGCCACTCAACTACAACATGTATCTGTTACTTTCATGCTTTCAGAAGACAGATGAAGTTACAGTAAAGGCAGTGAGAAAAAAAAGAATTAAAGAGGGTGACAGAACCTGAGAAGCAGGGATCGGGCTCTCACTTACCGTTACCTAACAATAGGAGTAAAACACAAAAGCCTGACTGCTGTTCTATAGTTAGTGGGACTCTTGATAGCAGGGAGTAGGGTAAAAGAAACAGATTCCAAAGGAAAGGGGTCTTTTGTCTATCCTTGGCATAAATGGAACTACAATTTGCATCTGAGAGACTTAAGTTACACTTTATAGTCACTGAGGACAAAGACTCAAGCTAGGCTCTCTGATGGAAAGATGACTGGTTTAAGTTCCTCAGTTGAAAACACTCAATGGAAGAGAAGGTATAGAGCCTTTCAAGAGAGCACTGAATTTATCCAGACATCACCCTGTGATTAGAGCGAACACCTGTCGACAGAGAGGGGGAGAACGTGTTCTTCTTTGATGTAACCACAACTTGTAAAGTTACAACCTATTTACACAATTCCCTGCTTTCTATTCACGTTCCACCTGTGAGTCACACTTAGCTTTTCTCGACCATCTAACAGCTATATATATATATCTTACCTTCAACCTCAGTGTAAGGTCACAGGTGTCAGCAGGGCTTCATTACAGAACAGGAAGTTCAATACAAATTGTTAACCACACCTAAGCTAAGGAGAGCAGAGGAGCATGCAAAAGGTGGCAGGTGCTTTTGAGCATCCAATATCCAATAATTTACAATAATATAAGCAGAAAAACACAACTACATTCTGTGCGATGTAACCAGCTAATGTTTGACATCATTGTAAGATAAATAACTTAAACCAACAGTCAGTTTTTGCAACATTAATTTTCTTACCAATAGCTTGAAGTCTATTAGACAGCTATGCACCCCCTTCCACATGTAAAACTAAAACCTTCTGTGATTAATTTTGCCTTTGTGTCAGTTGGGCGCCCCCTGTGGGCAAGGTGGTAAATCTTATCTCACTGTTATCTTCTTATGCCTGCAATGCTTTTCCTGAAATTTTCACAACCATTTCTAAAATCTTTCTCAATACATACAGAGAGAATTAGCATAGTAAGTAGGTCAAGGTCACAACCTCTGACTGAACAAATCATTTATGGTATATTCAGGAAACAATATGTAACACTGAGACAGTGTATGTGGGTGTGCTGTGTTTGCCTGTAATGACTTTATCGGGTCAGGTTTACAGCGCGAGTACTGTAGCAGTGAAAAAAGGAATAAAGGGGGAACGTGAGTAAGTGAAAAACATCTTGTGACACTTTGACCTGTACACACACACACACGCACACACGAGAGTTTGAAGATCTGAGGCAGCAAGACACAGCTCAGTTTTTACGATGTCACTGAGCCCTCTCTCAGGAAGAAGTGGAGAAATAAGAGTTGAGGTGGACCAGCGGGTGTTTGGCTAAATTATTGTTTTTTTTATGTAATGCCCAAGACACAAATTTACACAACTGCACAAGTACACATTTAAGTATCTGGTTTAGTTGTAATTGATATAATACAGAGTGTGTGTGTGTGTGTGTTTTTTTAAGAGGCTTGGCTGGTACAATGGCATGTACTGTATGTTGCACAGTCAGTCTCTTTCTTTATGTGTTTTTTTTTTTAACCTCCAACCCCACTCATTCTCTGGGTAACCTTAAACCTAGGAGGTCCTTGCATAGAACATCTGAGGTGCAGGTCAAACTGCTAACTTTACAACTGGCGCCTTAGTTTTGTTATTCAGGTTTAATTAACCAATATCTAGCCAAAGAACAGACCGGCATATGTTCTAATAATGTATGTGTATGAGTGGGTGGGTGGGTGGGTGGGTGTGGGTTTAGATGTGCAGATATTTGAATTGTCCTGATCCCACAAAAACCAATTAGTTTTATGACTAAATTAGTTGAATCTTTTGACTGTGCTCTGGCTCGTAGTTAGCCAAGATGTTGAGGCTCACCTTCCAAAGTAGTTCACACTCCCTCTCCTCCAGAGCTTTCTTGTGTCGGAGGACAAGGGCCTTCACTTCAGTCTGCACCACCTTGGCTTTGATCTCCACCTGCTCTGCCATGGCCTGGACCTTCTCCATGCTTAGCTGGGGAGACAAAACACAAAGATATGATCTTACTAATGAGGCAAAACTGTAGTTCCTACAGTAAGTTTACACAGAAATCCTCCTATAATAAAGTGATATATTATAACGGTGATAGAAACAGTGCGACATAAATCATGAAGCGAACCAGATGTGGGGGTCATTAACAATAAATCATTTCCCCCTGTCTGTTTAATAAGTCAACTTGGATATAAATGACCCCCCAGGCACAGGATGAAGAGGTAAGGAAACATTAAAAGAAAGGACACAGTGACATCTTCCTGGCAAGTGACTGAACAACAACTGCTCTGTTACCATGTAGCGGCTTCTTTAGGGAAAGGAAACAGGGGTCAGGAATAGGTATAGGAAGTAACTTTGCATTTAAAACAGTTTCCCCTCAAGGTTATCCAACATTTTAAAAAGTGTCAAAGTATTTTGAGTTTAATGCCTCATTCGATTTTTGTTTTTAGTTACTTATTCTTTCTTCAGATAATTTCTTGTTTCAACCTTTAAACAACTTTCTTGATTTTATCATTTCAAGATCTCATTTAATCTAAAAATGTAACTTTATTAACTAGGGGTGATCCCAAGTTAATAATATAGAAAAAAATGATTGTTAGTTGCCCACCACTGTGGCTGTTAAATTAAGCAAATTCAACTGTCACTGCAAAAAAAAAACACATATTTGGCAGGTGACGGGTGCTTATCTTCCATCTGTGCCAGATATAGTTACATCAGAACAGGAGCAGACACCTCCCTTCAACTCCGGCTCTCAATGGCTTTAAATGAGGAGTCAATCATAAATAAACTGTTACTGAAAATACAGAGGGAAATCGGGAACAGAACAGTGGTGGCAAATTTGAAGAAATCAACTGATCTTTATGGATGCAACGTGTTGGGATTATATCTCTTACTGGATTTGGATTGTTGGGACCATTGTTGAAACAGCAGGACCATTTTTGTTGGACTATTATGGTCTGCCTGCGGCTGGCCGTCAGTGTGTGGGCCTTCTGTATTGTAAATGGGCATATGTAATATCTTTTAAAAGGTCACCATAAAGGAGAAAAAGGATGGATCAAGTCCTATCATAGAAAACATCGTTATTTCAAGTCTACAGGACAAATTGTTAAATGGACATGGATCTATGATACTTCATGTCACACTGATCAGTTGGATGTTATATTGTGTGGAAATCAGGTTAAAATATTTTCATTGCTGAAATTGTAATATTGTAAAATGATTGTTTCAGTCAAACAATACTTTTGAAATGGATCCACACAATAATAACAATGGCGTAGAACAATTATATAAGCAGGGCTTTCGGACAACAAAATGAGAACAGCAATTATTTGTGTGACTCTGATAACTTGATTAACTTAAAAGCAACTGTATAGTAAAAAAAAAAAAAATCCTCCCCCTTTTTTTACAACTGTAGGGTTGGGCTAATTGCACTTTTTCCTGTTCCTTTATATGGCTTTCCCTCTGGTGTTTTCTGGGAGGTCACAGGGCGGACTGGACCTCACAGGCATGAAGAGGAGGTGGGATAAGGCTTCCTTTGTGATATTGCCCACAGGGATCAGAGGTCGCTCAAACCTCTACAGGTCATGTGATCTGCAACCCCTGTTTTAAGACACATATCGTCAACCCCCACTGCGCCCCAGCAAGAACAAAGCCTGGCAGCAGGGTCCTTTTCTCTTTTGCCTGGCAATTTGAGATGGGCAGCTAAAGGGTCATCTAAATCATGCCCCCAGAGACAGAACAGCAGGCTGGAAGGAATCAGGAAGGACTGTTATCAATAGTGAGGAAGGAGACAGAGGGATGTAAAAAGGCTCCACCTTCCAATTGTCTCTGTATACTCCTTTCATTAAAATATGCAAATTGTGTCTTCATTTGTCATTCTTCTCTTTGTTATTTTATTGCTTTTGTTCCCATTGCAGATGCACTGTAGTAGTGAGAACATATAAGGTCCCTGTAAAACATAAAGGTAGAATCCTTAGAATTGTTCATTGTAGCTTGTAAACACAACACAACAGGGCCTCTCCTCCTGGGCTTATAGGCCCCAGAAGCACACACTCACTGAAGGACGTAATGTCTATGTTTACTGCTTGTACCTACACTGCAAGCTACCGCACACTAGCACAAGCTAACTGTCAGTGTTTGGAACCTGCCTGTCCAACACAAAGCAGGCCATGTCCTTCATATTCCACAGTTTCAAGTGTATTAACTCCTAAACGTACCTGCGTTCTGTCATTGGCTAGGGGAAACACATCCACTCCCCGAAACATTCTGCGTCAACCAAAAAAAACCTAAAACATCAAAATACAGGCAGAGGACAGGGTCTCTGCAGATACAATCACCACCACACATGTATTGAGGCCCATAAGTGATGACTGAGCTGCATTTCATTTGTATTCGTCCATATTTTATATTTTAGGAGAAGCTACTGATTTCATCTTTAATTTTGTGTCCACTCCAACTGGACTTCATAATCTCCCTCTACATCACTTTGTCTCCATCCTTGCCCTTTCCTTCTTTTCCACAGAATTCCCAGAAGAGTATGACTTGGAACACAAAGAGGGTCAAACTGACCAATCAAAGCACCAGAGCCAAAGAGCTCTGGCCAACCACGAGGTCACAAGTCCAGGGTCAGAGGTCAGGGATCCTAATGGGTGTGGAGTGGGCGGAAATTTCCTACCTCAGGGGACAGGAACGTGCGCGTGTGTGTGTGTGTGTGTGTGTGTGTGTGTGTGTGTGTGTGTGTGTGTGTGTGTGTGTGTGTGTGTGTGTGTGTGTGTGTGTGTGTGTGTTTACATAATATCTGGCGTCAGCATTTACTGCCATGGTGACCTAGAACCAAATGGACAAATACAACCTAACTAACGTATAGCCAGATGGTAGAGGCAGTGTTTCTTGTGACCCAGCAGTACAAATCCTGGTGCTTTTCATGTGGCCAAGAACAAGTAAGTGCTGCAGTTCCTGGTTTTAGTTTTAAACACTGAGACATCATCGAGCAAATCGATGTTATTATATCTTGGAATTTGAAGAACAGCCCAGCTGACACAAGTACCCATCCTTCCTAGTACAAAGAGTGGAAGAGCAACACAAAGGTCAAGCTCTGCTGTGGAGATAGCACGTGCCAATAACTCACATAACCGTAGTGGAACAGCTAGTGTTTCTCCTACAAGGCCCATTCAAAAACACTTGAATGAGTGGCCTATCCTTTTTTTTTTTTTTTACCCTTTTAACAGTTTCTACACACAACCAACAAGCAAGATGACCAATATTTAATAAAACAATTATTATAATTTCGGATGAATATGTCAATCTATTACAAAATAAATGGCTCAGAATTTCTCAAAGCACTAAGGGATATATTCAAATAGCTTGATTTATCCAAGCATTTGGGACAACTAAAAGCTTATGTTTGACTCTACAATGATAAATATGGAGAAGAGCAGCATTTCCAACATTCCAGAGGCAAAAAAACAGCATAAAAAGGGCATTTGGGCTAAACTAGAGGCATGGCTCTAATGATTGTATTGTTGGGCAGTTGGTTGGTACACCCTGGTTTTTCAAACAGACAAATTTTCTACAATGACGTAGTAGTGAGACAAACCGGGGTTCATGATAATCAACGCTAACAACTTTGGTGATACCCTGATTTTTCTATCACATAAAGGGGTTGACTATTGTGTTTTAATCAAAACATACAGACTATTCAAAAAAGTTTCATTAACTTTGGGTAAATCAATTACGTCTGCCTCAGTTTACATGTTATTACTTTTGTGTCCCCAAATTGTTCATCAAGCCCACTATGAGCTAAAAGTTCTATAAATGCAACACAGCATTAAACTAACACTTTCTCCTATTTTGCTGCATGGCAATATGTTAGCATTATCTAAAACACAAAACTTAGATGGTAGGAATGGTATTCATTTGCGTGGTGTTATTGTCAGTATGTAAAGTTTAAGCTAGATGTTTTTTGAGGGCGTTTTCACATTAGGAACACTTTTTCTTTTTTAAATATACTTTTTTCATCACTGAGGGAAATTCTAGTTTTATACTGTGTTATTGAGAAACATGCTTCTCACACACATCCGCCCAAATCACACTCATGCACAAACAGGACCTGTGGACATGCATTGGTGGAGAGATATCTACACACTTCTACGCAGGGAGCGCACCAGATCGGTTGGGGGGGGGGGGGGGGTCGGTGCCTTGCTCAAGGACACCTCAGCAGTCCTCGGGAAGTGCACTGGCACCTCTCCAGCTACCAGAACAACTTCTAATTGTTTCGTACCATGTCTGAGCACATTTACAAAAAGTCCTCTTCATACTCTTTTAGCATCTCATTGTTGCAAATCAGTTTAATTCAGCTCAGTGCACAGCACCTCAGAAAAAAAAACTCTGCAGCCGGTTAATGCCCACAATAAACACTCTGACATTCTATTATATAATACGAAAGAGTACTATAAAAGAGTATTGCAATATTTTGGTCAAATTGATTTGGAAAGTCGATATTTGTTTTGATTTTCAATTGTATTGTGAGGCATTGTTAAATCCCTACAAAATAGTTTGGGATATTTTTTTGACAAATGACCACTGATCAATTTAATGTTTCAGCACAATTTAAAAGCAATCCTTAAGTGATTGTGCACATGAGTAAAAATGCCTGATTTTCTAAACTGTTCGTGACAACCTCTCATCCCATCTTCTTCTGTTCATGTTATACTGTATGAGCAGGAATCCCAGTGGAAGCCACTAACGGATGATTACGTAAATGAAAAAAGGCAGTGTGTGAGTGTGTGTGTGTTTATTGGAGGGTGAGAGTAAAAGGAGGTGGTGGGGAGAGTGAGGTAATAACTGAACAGGAGAGGGCAAAGTGTTCCTCTTCTTTAACAGAGGAGGGGAGTTTTCCTTTCTCCAAAATCCTTTAAATACCTCATCTCATCTCTCCCCCCCCATGCCCAGCCTCCTCTCCACTCCTCCTCCCCTTTGACCTTCATCCCTGCCCCCACCAGACCTCACCCCATGTGACCCACCCCCTTTAGGTGCCAGCTGGACACCTCTAACCTCAGGCTTCCCAGCAGGCCAGGACTGGTCACTCTCAAATATATTCAAGCTGATCATCTCTAGCAGTCGATTGCTCTGTGCTGAGGGACGATGGAGAGACACAGCTGCTCTCCTCAGCTTTGCCTATGTCTCTCCAGGAGAGGGATGGGTGTGGAGTTGTGTCGTTTGACCTTAAAAAAGGCCTTGAAAAACTGATTACTTTTGGATTTTTCACATTTTCAACACCTAGCATTAAGTCAAAATGGAGGATGTGTTTCCTGTGCTTTCATAGTGTTGCTCTGTTTCCATATTAAACAAGTAAATGACCAATTAGCCAATGAATGTCCAATGTCTGTGTTCCTGTCTCACCTGCACAGCCTGTCGCCCTTGCTGCGCATCTGACAACAGCTGGATGGTGATGGCCCTGGAGTCTTGTACGGCGTCTTGTAGATAAACAAAGGTGTGCCCCATATGACGGCCCACGCTGCACTCTCTGCAGATGGGCACAGAGCAGGTTTCACAGAAGAAGAGAAATACCTGAAAAACAGAGAGATGGGAATTAGCTTTGGGTTCAAAATGATAAAAAAGCTAAACATGCTTCCACAGCTGCAATATGTGACCAAAGTGAATGCAGGCTGCAAATCCAATTGGAATTCATTCATGACTCATTATAGCTACACTCAAATATCGCTGTGTTAAACTGACCGAATGCAACCTTTACACTTCCAAAACCCTACCCAACATCTACCAAAGCAAAAGTGAGGACCCAATCATTTTGAATACTCTTAGATCTAGGAATATTGTTTTACTGCTGCTGTGTCACCAAGGGCTGACAAAAAAATGAGATTGGAAGGAGGACACATTGATAACGAAGTTAAATAGCCTTCTCTTTATTCTCTCTCTCTCTCTCTCTTATGCACGCACACAAATCTAATTAATGAGAAAAGATCATGAATGACAAACAAGTCATCCATATGCATGTGCTGCCAGGGAGGCATATATTGGGCTTGACACCCTAGAGAGCTTGTCTCTTCCAAAACAGAGCATGAAGAAGCACTAGAGGACTAAAGGCTACCAAAACTCAATCAATACTCATTCTGGGGACATCTGAGGATTCGGACCATAAAGGGATATACCTCACATTTCACATGTTATCAGTCTTACTACAGTAATAAGGGGTTGGCAAAAGTATTGTGCTTCTCACGTTTCTGCTGGCTTTTAGTTTTACCAGAGACATAAAAAAAAAAAAAAAAAATGATTTCAAGTTAAAATTAATTTCTTCCATAGAGTTGTACACCTATGTATGCCATATTGTAAGTCCCTTTTTGGGAAAAGCTTGTGACTGATGAAGTAGTAAAAGCAGACTAACATTGGTTGATTAAAAAAGTCCTTCTGTCCCTCAGGACAAGGGGGAGAAATGTAATTTAACCTTTGTTGCTTAAACCTAATCTTTGCTTTAAACCCCATTTCAGAATGCAGATTTTTAGTAATTGATGGCTAATTAAATACACACTAGCCATCATATCCTGAAGAGAAACCAGATCAATGGCCTCCAATAGCAAAGGAGCTGGGTATATTGGGAGGGGACAGCAATCGATCCATCAATAATGACTGTTCCCCTGGGGAGCAGCATAATCTAATGAGACCAACACACACCTCCCCCTGTATCCAACTTCCTCCTCCTTTCTGCCTTGTCATTAAGCTCCTCTTGGATCCTTTTCTCCTGGTCCTATTCTTGCCGTCTCTCTGTTTTACAGAGCACTGTCCTCTACTACACTCTCTGCACTGCTCTGTCACTCATTGACCTCTTCCTCTCCAATCCCACCCCCATCAACATCTGCTAAAATTCCAAGGGGATAGGACACACAAAAGCTAGGAATGCAGCTGGGCTGGAGTGGAGGAGGAAAGTGCAGATAGAGGATGATGGACACAGGACTAAGGCTGTCAAGGGACAGGCAGATTGATGGTGCCATATACTTTGCATTCCGATTGAGCGACTGACCCACTGAATCCACAGGACTGAGATCAGCAGCACTCAGATCATCAAATGAGGCTGTTCTGATATTAACAAAACCTTACAAGTTTGTACTTGAAGTGTAAATATATTTACGTGATGGGAAAGTAGATCCATACATTAAATTGCTCACTTGCTATTTTGGAGGTTTTTATGCCTATCACGTATTTTTCAGTACTACCGAGCAAATACCAAAGGAAAGTCACAATTGTATCCCCAAACTTGTTTGAGTTGGCCACCAATATCTTCCAATTTTACAAAATCTTACATATTTTAAACAAATCAATTTTGTGATTCGTTATATCAGGATGCATAAATAAAACAGACATGATTTCAGACTGAGCTCTGATTGGAAACGCTAATAATTTTTACACAAGCTGACATTTCATTGTGTCTAATGAAATGTACTAATTACTGCAGCAACAGCTGCCCAGAGCTACCAACGGTATGGATAACAGTAAAAAATTCCAGGCATTTTGAAAAGTTGAAAAACCTCCTACATCACTGTAGGTTGTACATCTGCAAATGAGAATTCTGCTTTGAGAAACAAATTAAAATGAAGATAAATTGAGAATAAAAGAAAAGGGAACCGCATCAAAAAACTCAGATTTAAAAAAGGTTTTTTTTTTTAAAGACACCTAAGCCACAAAGAAAGAGACAGAGTTAAGAACATCATCCACAAATGATGAGCAAGCTTGAGCCAATAGTAAGGAGGGCCATCTTTGACATGATGAACATATGAAACGAATCCTTCCTGGAAAGCAAATTTTAATAAGGAAGCACACAAGACAAACAACTTTTTTCAAAAGATATTTTAGCTATTTAGAAAGTATGTGCAAATTTACTGTAATTAGTGCTCATACATGAGCGCTGTCATCATTTACTGTTGGTGGACTCCTTCATATCATAAAAGAAAGACTCAATTGCAAAAACATCTACATGCATCAGCTAGAACAACTGACCAGTAAAAGAGAAATCTAAATTAATCTAAAACATCAATATCAACTTGAGATCTCATACAAACCTCCTAGTAATCAATAATATCTAATGACTGTGTTTCCTCACATTTAAAGTCACTAGTTAACCAAGTGGCAAAATGAAGAGCAGTGGAGCAGAAGCCTGTGATTGGAAACACTGGAGTCTTATTTCACAGAACTAGATCCTATAACAAATACCGGCACCAGGCATCAGATATCTTTAATACAATCTGCTGCTGATGTGTCATCAACAGCTCAACAGTCCTCGAGGTGAAACACACTCACTCATACACACATGGTTGTGGATTACATAACACATCAGCCTCTTGGAACTTCAGTCAATATTATTGACTCAAACAGGATACCGGCTCTTCCCGGAGGTCTTCGAGGAAGGGTCCTGTTCCCTCTCTTGTTGCCTCCATCTTTACCTGCTCTCACTGAAACCCGTTATTATCATTCTTAAGACATGTGCCAACTATTTAAATCAATATAAAGTAAGCAAAAGTGCATCACACACCTAACTTGTTTGCCAGCTATAACTCGTATGCTCTGTGAAACATGTGGACCCTGAATTTAACATTCATGCCATGGACAGGACACGCTGAATATCCTCACACATGCAAGGACAAAACAAGAAACTTCCAGTGTGCACGTGACGCAATGTGGGGAAAAACAAGTTAAAAAGGCATGAAAAAGGCGTGGTGTTACACAGAGAACACCCTTGAAGGGGTCCTTCAGGCAGCCCTGACGCACCTAGAGTTTAACTTAATACAAATTATCATGGCACATGCTCTAAAAACGTAAGTAGCAGCACATTATAAAACGCAAAGCTGCTGCCTGTTTTTTTACTATTGGAGGGGATTGAACAAAGATGCCATCAGCAGTTAAAAGGCTCTGAGCCAGAGGGCATGGCCACGTTGGGGGAGAAGAGTTATTGTATTTCATTAGTGCACCGGATGTTTCTCGTTCTCCCCTCCCGCCCATTACGTTCCTCCATTAACAATTTACACTAAGACACACCCTCTTACGTTTGGCTATTTGTGTGTTTCAAAATGTCTGGTCATAAATCAAAGAAATAAAAATGAAAGAATTCAAGGACTATTTTTCAATGATATGTTTGATTTTGCTTCCAGAAGGATAACCATTCTAATAAAACGTATTAGTTGATTAATTAGTTAAATTGCTAAGGGAACTCAACAATAACTGTTTGAATTGATTGAATCTATACAGTCCAATATAGTTATAAACTGATGAATTGTTGGCTTTTGTATTGATGGTCAAAAGAAATTTGGAGTTGCAACTAATGATCTTGGAAAACATTGTGGATGTATTATGTTTTATGGCCATGCATATACACGGATAATTCTAAAAAATAATGAACAAATACAGTAAATCATGAAACAATTGGAAATTTAAATAGATGATAGGCTAGCATACTCAAAACCAAGCTCTGCTCAAAACCAAGCCAGTTTAAGACTTCCTATTCCTGTAATTGTAAAGATCTCTGCTTAACAACAAAATAAATCTGTACATACATGATGGGACCGGGCGCTTAAATATAAAAAATCCCTTTAAGCGCAGGAGCACTCTGACATTTTATAACATATTTTCTAACGGTTAATGAGCCAGGCCTTGTGCTCACACATGCAGGACCAGCCCCCTCTCCTCCCTCCTGTCAGAGGTACTGGGAACTGGGGGAGAGGGCACGAGCTCTGCTAGCCAGTAAAATCGCACTCTGCAGCACTCGCTGCCTGCATGCACAGCCGAGTGGGGGGAAGGGATAACGGCTATGTAATGTCACACTGTTGGGCCAGAAAAACTAGGACTGCTCTAGACAGCGAAAGCACGTTCTCTCAAACAACTTTACCACCGACAGTGTGGGATGCTCAGACATCTGCAAGGGTCGTGTGTGTCCAAATGCCATTTCTGGACAGTTTCCATCCTACTCTTCCCTTTCACATGTGTTTCTAATTATGTGTTGAAATGCAACTCAATCATCATCAGCTGTACAACTGCAAATGAACTGGAGTTTCTGTAGGACTTGACATTTAAAATGTTCAAATGTTTTAAAATCACACACAGCCAGAAGCTAAATTTATATTGAATGTCCTTCAAAAATGTAACTTTAGGGTAAAAACATTATTGTGCTGCTAATAATCAAAACATTTCAGTGGCACACTTAACAATACATTTTAAATTAATCAAAATAGTATTTATAAATAAATGTACTACAACACTTTTAGATAATAATCATTTTGATGACCAAATAGTTTCTTGTGAGATCAAATTCAACTTTTCTGATTTTATTTTGTATTTTCCGTTGATGCTACTCTTCTGGTCAACAGAAATTCTGAAGAAAACTATTTTTTACCAAGAAAAACTGAATACTATTCTGCTATAGGCAGTTTTACACGTAACACTTTTTAACAAGTATGGCTTTCTTACCAAAGGGGATGAACTGTGCAGACGGTAGCCTGTTTTTTATAAAGTGTGTCACTGCCTCAGGCTTATATGCTCTTTCTTTAACTATGTGTCAATAGACAGAA